AGAGAGGGATGGATAGATAGATAGATAGAAGGGGTGTAAGGGGATAGATAGATAGATAGATAGATAGATAGATAGATAGATAGATAGAAGGGGTGTAAGGGGATAGATAGATAGATAGATAGATAGATAGATAGATAGATAGATAGATAGATAGATAGATAGGGTGTAAGGGGATAGATAGATAGATAGATAGATAGATAGATAGATAGATAGATAGATAGATAGATAGATAGATAGAAGGGGTGTAAGGGGATAGATAGATAGATAGATAGATAGATAGATAGATAGATAGATAGATAGAAGGGTGTAGTAGAGTAGATAGATAGATAGATAGATAGATAGATAGATAGATAGATAGATAGAAGGGGTGTAAGGGGATAGATAGATAGATAGATAGATAGATAGATAGATAGATAGATAGATAGATAGATAGATAGAAGGGGTATAAGGGGATAGATAGATAGAAGGGGTATAAGGGGATAGATAGATAGATAGATAGATAGATAGATGGGGTGTAAGGGGATAGATAGATAGATAGATAGATAGATAGATAGATAGATAGATAGAAGGGGTGTAAGGGGATGGATAGATAGACAGATAGATAGACAGATAGATAGAAGGGGTGTAAGGGGATAGATAGATAGATAGATAGATAGATAGATAGATAGATAGATAGATAGATAGGGTGTAAGGGGATAGATAGATAGATAGATAGATAGATAGATAGATAGATAGATAGATAGATGGATAGATAGATAGATAGATAGATAGATAGATAGATAGATAGATAGAAGGGGTGTAAGGGGATAGATAGATAGATAGATAGATAGATAGATAGATAGATAGATAGATAGATAGATAGAAGGGGTGTAAGGGGATGGATAGATAGACAGATAGATAGACAGATAGATAGAAGGGGTGTAAGGGGATAGATAGATAGATAGATAGATAGATAGATAGATAGGGTGTAAGGGGATAGATAGATAGATAGATAGATAGATAGATAGATAGATAGATAGATAGATAGATAGGGTGTAAGGGGATGGATAGATAGATAGAAGGGGTGTAAGGGGATAGATAGATAGATAGATAGATAGATAGATAGATAGATAGATAGATAGATAGATAGATAGATAGAAGGTTGATAGTAAAGGGGATAGATAGATAGATAGATAGATAGATAGATAGATAGATAGATAGAGGGAAGGGTAGATAGATAGATAGTAGGATAGATAGATAGATAGATAGATAGATAGATAGATAGATAGATAGATAGATAGATAGATAGATAGAAGGGGTGTAAGGGGATAGATAGATAGATAGATAGAGATAGATAGATAGATAGATAGATAGATAGATAGATAGATAGATAGATAGATAGAAGGGGTGTAAGGGCATAGATAGATAGATAGATAGATAGATAGATAGATAGATAGATAGAAGGGGTGTAAGGGGATAGATAGACAGACAGACAGACAGAAGGGGTATAAGGGGATAGATAGATAGATAGATAGATAGATAGATAGATAGATAGATAGATAGATAGATAGATAGATAGATAGATAGATAGATAGATAGATAGATAGATAGATAGATAGATAGATAGATATCAAAACTGAGTTTAGAATGGGAACTTCCTGATAATCTTATCTATGGAATCACTGCCCTGGCCCCATAGTTGTCATTGTATCGCAAGGGAGTTGTTATGATAACTGCTCAATACCCTTGCACAGACAAGTAATATCTGAAGATAAATCTTGCAACACTTTGTTGACAAGTAATTTCAGCAAGTTAATATTCTCTTGGGGCAGCTTTAATGTATGATTCCTCCTTCTTTAGTTTCCTTTAATTGATTTGCTCTTTTGTGAGTAACAGAGACAAGGCTTCTGCATGTACCAGAAGCAGATGAACTTGTACTAGCTCCAAATGTGCACGTGCTTCGCCTTGCCATTCCCTTTCCTTTCGGTCTTGCTCTTCTGACCCCTTTCTGAAATGTCAATCTGTCCTGCTACAAACTCAACGTGGTAACCACCAATGCCCCATTTTAACTCCCAAACCCCTCTCCTTTACTCCTTCTCCATTGTCTGTGATTCCACTCCCTTTCCTGTTCCACAGATCCACAATCTATGTATCATTTTCATCTTCTCTTTCCTCCTCCTCACTTTGCTGCTATTGCTGAATCTTGCCAATTATTCCTCTACATAGCCAGCATCTGCCCATTCTCAAGCTAAGCTACTGGTGCAAGCTCTGATCACTTCTCACCTTGATTACTGCAACCTCCTCCTTTTCAATCTCCGTGCTTCTTGCCTCACTCATCTAATATAAAATGCAGCCAGGAAAATCCTCTTCCCTGCCCACTACGATGACTGCCTCCGTCTGCTTTGCACATCCTTTGTTCTCACCTTACTCATTCAGATAAAAGATGGAACCTAGGAGCAGAGAGCTAGGTCAACCCAGATGATCTCAACCACCTGGGAGAAGTTGCTAATGTGTCTCAGGAATACATTATGTTTAATAATGAAGAGAGAAGAGAATTATAGAAAACCTGCTGTATAAGCAGATTTGTATCTAAATGGAATCTTTCTAAAAATGTGCCATGACATGTCATTGACCTTTTAATGCAGCCGTTTAAAAATTCACAAGTCCTTTGGAAATTATATTATGATTCCCCTACCCAGCCACCTGTTCTTTTTGTCGGGGGAGAGAGTAAAGGCCAGTCAGACAAGCAGCCCCTGGGCTCAGGACAGTTGAGGGGTTGATGTTTAGTTGTTACCAATGGGAACAACTGACTAGAAAAGCCATAGCAAGTAGACAGAACCATGGCTCCCACCCAGTTCCACACAGGACATGTATAGTGCATCCCCTAAAGGTGCGTGACAGATGGCTTTCCCCACCCCGGTGCAATTAGAGAGCTCTGGGAAGTAGCCTGCCTTTCTCGTGCATCCTGATATTGCCTCTAGGATGATGAAGCACTGCATCTTCTCCAATATACATGTCACAAACTAGTCTTAACTGTGGAGTGGTCCCTATTTCCGAATGCTGGTCAAGTATTCGGTGGACTATTTTGCACACATGTCTCAATACCTAAGCAATGCCTTGAGGGCAGGGATGCTATTAAATAATTTGTAAAGTGGAAGACATAGTCATGGTGATGTATAAATCATAAACAAAAAAGAAATCACGATGACAGAATTTTATTCTTAACTCTGGATTCCTATTTTCTTTTAATCTAAGTAAAATAATCATTATTAAAGAAAATGTTTCTACCTAGTTCCACATGTATTCTGTAAGGAAAAGATGGCCAAAGGAGGTAATGTGATACCTCTTATTGGACCATTATATATATATATAATGCATAAGCCTGGAGGCTAAAAACATATTTTAATCAGAAGTTATTCTTATATAATTGTTTTGTGGTTTAAATAGTTATCTGCATAGACCTGTGTCCTTGTCATTTCTTGCATGGCCCTAAAAGCAGAAATTAATCTGTGCTGGTGTTTCAAGAGAATCTATTAAATACACATAAGTAGGATGAAAGGCAAAGGCCATGTTGTAACTAGAGCATGAGAGGGGGCGGCAGACTACCTGGTTACTCATCTGATGTATAACAATGGTTTGTGGTGTGACCGTAAGCAAACATTTTCAAAAGGGCCTACTAATTTGGAGTTCTTCAGTATATTTCAGTTCCTATCTTAATACACCTACAACTTGATTTTCAAAGATACTGAGCACCTGCAATGCCAAATGAAAGTTAATGAGTGGTAATAAACTGCTATAAACATTTTAAGTTTGACTGCTGTGGTAATTAATCAGCACAACTGTACACTAACCAATTGTCCCTACTGCAAACACTCAGACCACAATATTGAAGCAAAATATTTATTTTCTCATGACATTCCTCCAAAAATGCTCTCTTGCGTCAGTGTATTTCCTTGTTATTCAAAACTGTGTCTCCATTTTATTTTGTCCCCATTTATTCACTTCCAAATGTTGGTGGATATTCAGTAAAATAGGGTACTTTGTTTTCCTTCCTGCCCTTAAAACTTCTTGTGCAGTTAAACGAGCTATCAAATAGTGCAGGTAGACAGCCTATGGAACCTCATGATCTTGTCATCTCTACCCCAGCTTTACAATCACTTGTTACAACTTGACTTAAATTAGATTGCAAGCACTTTGGGGGCAGGGACAATGTTAATTTATGTGTGTTGAGCCCCCAGGATAATGGGGCTTGACTCTTGTCATCTTTACCCACCCTTCCAACTGTAAATATATATATTTGTATAGCTGCTTTCCCCTCTAAACCAGGTTGTTGTTGTTGTTTTACCTGCATGGTCTTCTTTGATTGAGGGGGTTTTTTTTTGAGCATCTCGCAAAGCCGCTCTTACATGATTTCCACGTATCCTTCACATTTTTCTGATTCAATTCTTCCTCCCAGCCGATTTGGCTCCTAAAAGTCTTTTGGCTTTGTGAAGTTTGCATTAAATAATTATTGTCAGACACCCCTCCCTCCCCCAATTTCCCACAACTGTGAAAAATTAAATAGATTGAAAAAAGTTGAAAAATACTTCGATATTATCTGTGAGAACTGTTTTTTAAAACAAATGAAAAAACCGAATTGTGCCAAGGCTGACGAAAGAGGAGCGGGCGGCTGTCTCGCCCAGTGGGGAGGGAGGCGGGACACCCCAGCCTGAGGACTCCGGGGCACTGGGGAGACTGCAGACATGTCATAAATCCCAACGGCAGCCCGTGGAAGGAAGCGATGCCCCCGAAGAAGACAGGCTACCCTTCCCAGACCACCTTGCGAGGAACTCCCGCAGTTCTTCCGATTACCCCACGAGGACTACAACTCCCAGCAAGCTTAGCGGGGCAAAAGAGCAATCCCGCCCCCAGCATGCCTTGCGAGGGATGAGGCCGAGAGCGGCTCCCGCCGCTCCCCGCCTGGGAGCGGACTACAAGTCCCAGCAGGCCTTGCGGGCATGCGGTATCGGCTTCCGGAGGCTGGGCCGCGCCGCGCCGCGTCCGTGGGTGCCGTTGAGCTGTGGGGTGAGGAGGCGGCGAGCCGAGGCGGGTCTGGCCTGGCGGTGCCTCGGCGGCGGGGGCCCAGGGAGCGGCGAGCGGGGCTCCGGGCGGCGGAGCAGGGGACGTAGGCCGGGGAGCGCTCTGCGCCGCCATGCTCAATATGTGGAAAGTCCGGGAGCTGGTGGACAAGGCGTGAGTATTATGGGGTGTCGGGGTCTGGGCCTGCGGCCTCGCGCTTACCCCCCCCCCCTTCTTGCCCTCCGACGTGGCCGCTGCCCCGCCCCCTGTTGAGCTGGCGGGCGCCTCCTCCCCATGCCAAGCTGTCTCCTCGTGCTGCCCTCACGGCCCCTTCAGCTGACTTCCCCGTTATGGTTTCTGACCCCATACCTTGTGACTACCCCTTCTGCCTCCCTATCCCCCGTGTGCCCCGTCATGGCTGCTGCCCCCTCACAGCCTCATCTGCCCCTGCCCCCACCCCCCTGTGTGTCCCGTCATGGCTGCTGCCCCGTCACAGCCTCATCTGCCCCTGCCCCCCCCCCCCCTGTGTGTCCCGTCATGGCTGCTGCCCCCGTCACAGCCTCATCTGCCCCTGCCCCCACCCCCCTGTGTGTCCCGTCATGGCTGCTGCCCCCTCACAGCCTCATCTGCCCCTGCCCCCACCCCCCTGTGTGTCCCGTCATGGCTGCTGCCCCCTCACAGCCTCATCTGCCCCTGCCCCCACCCCCCTGTGTGTCCCGTCATGGCTGCTGCCCCGTCACAGCCTCATCTGTCCCTGCCCCCCCCCGTTTCTCCCCCTGCTGCCCCCTCACAGCCTCATCTGCCCCTGCCCCCCACCCCCCTGTGTGTCCCGTCATGGCTGCTGCCCCCTCACAGCCTCATCTGCCCCTGCCCCCACCCCCCCTGTGTGTCCCGTCATGGCTGCTGCCCCGTCACAGCCTCATCTGCCCCTGCCCCCACCCCCCTGTGTGTCCCGTCATGGCTGCTGCCCCGTCACAGCCTCATCTGCCCCTGCCCCCCCCCCCCTGTGTGTCCCGTCATGGCTGCTGCCCCGTCACAGCCTCATCTGCCCCTGCCCCCACCCCCCTGTGTGTCCCGTCATGGCTGCTGCCCCCTCACAGCCTCATCTGCCCCTGCCCCCACCCCCCTGTGTGTCCCGTCATGGCTGCTGCCCCCTCACAGCCTCATCTGCCCCTGCCCCCCCCCGTGTGTCCCGTCATGGCTGCTGCCCCCTCACAGCCTCATCTGCCCCCGCCCCCCTGTGTGTCCCGTCATGGCTGCTGCCCCCCACAGCCCCATCTGCCCCCGCCGTGTGTCCCGTCATGGCTGCTGCCCCCCCCGCCCCCGCCGTGTGTCCCGTCATGGCTGCTGCTCCTCTCTCAGCCTTGCCTTCCACCCCATCCCATCATGGCTGATGCCCCTCTGACAACCTCAATGCCTCTCTCTCCTTTAGCTGATCTGTCTCCCTCCCTCCCATTATGAATGCTGATTTGCCCCCACATCATGGCTGCTGCCCCTCTCATCCACCTCTCTTCTAGATGATCTGCCCTCTGTCATGGCTAACTGCTAGTCTTCCCCGCTCCCCAAGTTCACTGTCTTTGCAGCTGACCCTTGCTTATTTGGCCCCTGTCATGGGCTCCAGGCCTCTCAGGTGGGAGAGGAAGTGATACACTTAAAAATGACCTGTACTGGAAGAAATCCCCAGAATACTTGCAAAGGTTCATTTCCTCTTCTCTCAAGTTTTCTGCCACTCCCTCCCTCCCCCCCGAATTCACATACTGCACCTTATTGCTACTGTGGCTATAACTGACTCACAGCCTTTAGGCCAGAGCTGGAGTGGGTGGGGAAAAGGCAATCCAGGAAATAAAACACTCCTTTTGTGAGGACCTTAAAAAACCCCAGATAGTTTAGGGCAAGTCTACACTACAAAATGAAGCTGGTTTAAGTTACATCAACAGACAGCCACCACAGTAGTTAAATTGGTTTTGCACATCCACACTATGCTCCTTGTATCATGTCCTCACAAGGAGTGCTTGCAGTGATTTAACTGTCAGTATGGGGCATTGTGGGATGGCTTCTGAAAGGCAGCAACAGTCAATGTAAGCAATGCAGTGTCTACACTGATGCTGTGTCGACCTGATTACATCGACCTAAGTGCTACTTCTCTTCTGGAGGTGGAATTATTAAGTCAATGTAGTGGGCGAGTTACATTGGTGTGAGCTACATTTGCATGTAGATGCTTACAGAATTAGGTTGATGTAAGGTGCCTTAGGGCAACCTAATATGTAGACTCAGCTATTTGCATAGTTACGTACTGCACATGAGAAATTCTATCACTAGCCTGGCTGCCTTGGTTACTATCATCATGACAATCACCTTTGTCTCATTTTGAAGAATGTAGCAGGACATGAGTTATCACTTAGTGTGTTTCTCTGCCATTCCTTATTTGTTGTGGTGGAGAAAAGACTGAGAATTTCACCCAAAACTTGTCTGTATCAGAGAATGCAGTTTTTATTTAATGGTAAACTTTTTGCAACTTTGCATGAGCTATCAGCTTCAGTACAGGAGTAACTGGATGAAATGCTATAGCCTGCACTATTCAGGGGGTTAGACTACATGATCTAATAGTCACTTCTGACCTTAAAATTTAAGAATCTGTCTTTCAAAACATGACTCTATTTGTTTAATCTTCAGTTACTCTAGTTTGTCTGAACAGTTTTTAACCAGCCTGCTTTAGAAACAGCCAGCTGAAGAGGAACAGCGGTTTCTTATTGACACTGGTTAAGTATTCATTTTGCTTCCTGGTGCACCCTGACCCAGTACACAACTGAGTCTTTTCTAGGACAGGAAACAAAGTTGACATTTAAAATATGCAGAGTGTAAGACTTTTTCTCAGGAAGTTGTTTACCTTTTCTCTGCTGAGTCTCCTTTTTATGACAGCAATTGATTCTTGTCAATGGCGGACACTAGTTTTAATAGATAGAAAAAGTGGTATGTCAGGTTTTGTTGGCCTTCAGTTTCTAGTATTCCTGTGCTGATCTTGAATTCCAGATTTTAAAAAGACATTGTCAGGGATTAGTTTTTGTTGCATAGGTTTTGTTATAAACAAATATACATACACACTTATTTTACTTTCCTAAACATTAATATAGAAGGAAGCTGAGATATTGAGTGAAAGAGCTAGGAATAGAACTCAGTCTCCTTATTCATGTCTAGTGCCATATCCACTGGCTTTGACCATTATAGTAGCTTCTCCACTCTGTTTATTATTAAAAATCAGCCCTTCAAAAAATCCTCTATTTCTGCAGTGTTGAATTTTAACAAGACTAACACTTTCTCCCTTTGAAGAGGGAGAATGGGATTTAAATAAGGAAGTGGCTTGAAATGTGTGCAAGTAACTTGAAAACACAGTTCTGAAAACTTTAATATGAAGTCTTTTGCTTATTTTATCTCCTAGACCTTGGTTCCACATAACGCTGATTTTGGCCTTCTTACTATTGTAACTTACTGATCTGTTATATAAATTCATACAAAAAGTTTGTTAGAAATATCTTGATAACAAAAGAAGACTTCCATTCAATCATTTGTTTCTATTCTTTGGTTGTGATCCACACCACAATGACCTATGTCCTTCACTTTGTCTTTTGCTGGCTTAGAGCTCTGTTTGATCAGTCATCTCAGATGTCAAATTGGAGAACCACTTCTAGACTTTCTAGGCTCTCGTTCTCTAAAAAAGACATTGTGGAGTTAGTAATCATTTGTTTTTAAGTTACTACCATTACTACTTAGTTTTTTATTATTTTGTTATTAACATCTGCGTGTGCTAGATGAAATTCCAGAAGAGGTATAAAACACATTCCCTGCCCTGGAGAGTTTATAATCTGAAAATAGGCTGGGCATGACAAGAGATGACAGAATAGTTCTTTAGATTATGAAAAGTGCAAATAAAGATCCAAGTTTATAATTAACATTTTTAAGGTGTTTACTTTGTATGCTTCCCTCAGTTTAGATAGAAACTGAGTTGTCTTACCTGCACTAGCATCACTTTGCAGTAGTACCTGGATGTCCAAAACGGGGTTAACTTCCCATTGTGTGAGGCACTGTTCATACATATAACAAAAATGTGGTCCTGTCCTCAAACAGCTCCCATTCCAAGGCACTGATCCTGCAATATTTTAATGTGGGTAGACCCTTGTGCCCACACAGAACCCCATTCACTTGGCTCCATGTTGGTCCAGGGACCCATGCATAGCAAATTGCAGGTTGGGACCCAGGCAGTGGTGGTTGCAAACCAAACACTAAAGAGGAATATTTAAATCCCCCAAAAAAGAAGTTATCTTGATTACTTCAATTTCATGAAAGTATTTCTATTTTAACTGAAGTTTTGTGAGATATTTATGTTTAATAAAGTTGTGATTTTTTATTTTAACTACCTGATCGTATCCCTTTAAGTTTTGGGAAGACACTATTCCAGTTTCCACTGTGTGACCTGAGTATTTTTAGCTATCAATATAACCTTTTAATAGTCTTCACACTTTTTTCTTGTTAAATGTATAGGTTTACTGAGTAGTGGTAAATGAACAATAATTTCATGCCATGTCTTTACTGGCCGGTTGAAAATAGTTTGGGGCCTAAACCAAGTGGTTAATGTAGTTCTGTTGCTATATATGGAGGGGATTTTGCACCTTTAATTTTATCCCGGCTGTCTCTAATTACCACATTTTTCACAGAGATGTTCAGAAGTATTTTAAAACATAGGCTAGTAAATATCACAGTCTGTACAAGTATTCCTCAAATGTGTCATATTAGTATGAGGAACTGCCTGTCTGCATAGCTTATTACTGCTTGCAGGCTTCTGACTTGAATTTTCTCATCTTTTCTGGAATAAATTGCTATTTTTGAGTCGTTGTTGTTAACTTGTAAGTAAATTAACATTGGAAAAGATGAAACCTTTTGATTCTGTGAGCTTGTGTCATTTGGAAGTTAGTTTTATTTTTTAAAAAACTAATATTTGAAACAAAACAATAAACTCTTTGACTGCAGCCCTACTGCATTGAGCTGTCATCTTGTTCACTGTCCTACCACCAAACAGGGTTGATTCTGGTCTGCAGAGCTCTCTTCTTCCTGCCGAAGAAAAATCTAGGGTATTGCATGATGTGATCTTGGTGATTCAGGTGGCACCCTCCCATCTGAGT